GTTACGGTTACGTTAGTTACGGTTAGGTTACGGTTACGGTTACGGTTACGGTACGGTTAGGTTACGTTAGTTACGTTACGTTACGTACGTCTCTCTCTCTCTCTCTCTCTCTCTCTCTCTCTCTCTCTCTCTCTCTCTCTCTCTCTCTCTCTCCACGTGGTGTGCTTGATATTTTCTTTTGATATTGTGTTGTAGATACCTGAGGCTCTTACTGACAATTGTGAATACCTTGCCTGAGGTTGAACTTGATGTTATTTTGAGGTCATTACTACAACTTGCTCTTTTATGTAAAACAATTCCATTTCCATGTATAATTTCCCTCCATTTCATATTGGCATCTTTTCTTAATTCACTTTTTGACTTTATGCTACAAATGCAGGACCTTTGCAAGTATGACTATCTTTGTAAGTCATCTTTGCTTAAAGAAAGATATCTTGTTATTCATGGAGATCATCTCTGACCCACTGGCTCAATGGCTATCCTTGTGCTCAATCCTAAACCAAGAAACAAACAGAGGAGACCTCCAGCATCAACTTTCCATCTTCTGGACTGAAACATTGGATTGCTTGCGGCGGAGCAAACCACCGCTCCTCTTCAATTCCTCTCTCCTCACTCTCCAAGCCCCACTCTTGGGCATAGCTCTTAATCACCCTCACTCAGCCATTTCTGATGCCACCATCTCATTCTGGCAGGCAACATATGGCAAAAACACGAAAATATCTTATCCCCACTACTTGTTTCCAATTCTAGTCAATCTAAAGATTGTAGATGCAAATGCACCATTGGCCTGTGATAATCCTGCAATTTCAGCTGATACTAAGTGTGTCGGAGTTAATGTCACCCAGAAAGGGAGCTCAAAGAGAGTAGTGGCACCCATGCAAGATTGTGATGCTCTATTTGTTGGACCTTCAAAAAGGAAATGTTCAGAACTAACTGAGCATCAAATGGAGGTGAGGAGAGCCCAACAAGGAAGGGTAAGAGATTGTATGGGGCATGGTCCTTGAGTTAAGACCCATACGAATTTAGATTTTAGTCAAGGAAATGAGGGTGAGTCCCAAGAGACTGAGGAGGTACGGAGCCTTGAGTCTATCCTTGACAAGCTGAGGATGCGTAAATCTTGTGATATTGGAAAGTGATTGTGATGTTTGGCATGTATTTATTTGTACTTTGTAATCTTATGCATAATGTATGTTAATTCCCTCTTCCACTTTTAACTGCATAGACAATGATCCGACAAGAGCAAACTGTACCCCCCTCCCCACGAAAAAAAACAAGGAAGTTCAGAGGCATAACTTTTTGACATCACAGGTACCCTGCTACCTTGACTGCCCAGAAGCCGCGTCTAAAGTTGTACACTTCTCCAGCACAAAGTCTACTGAAAAAAGGTATTTGAGTTTCTAAAGCCTATTTTTGACTGGGTGAGAACGGGTAGGGTCGGAGCCAGATCCGCCCAGATTGGGATCTAGATTTGAATAGTATACATTTGATTTGGGTTGGATCTAGATTTAAACCGGATCTTAGTTATTTGGATCCGGATCTAAATCCTAACAATACATATCGGATTCAGATCTTTAGGGTCTGCATATTGAATTTAGATCCGGATCCGGATTATATACTATTTAAAAAAAATTATATATAAAATAAAAATTTAGCATTTTAAAAAAAATTGGGTCGGATCTAGATCTTGATTTGGGTTGGATCTGGATCTGGATTTGGATCAGATCCACCTACTCTTGGATTCGATCTGAATTTTAATTCAAATATGAATTTTGGATCCAACTTTTGAATCAAAACCCGAATCCAAATAGGGTTTGAAATCTGGGTTTTGAATCCAAATCGGGTCAATTTTCACCTTTTTTAAGGCACTTTTGGAATACATATTGAATTTTTTTTGTTTGAGTTGGTTACTAGGTTGAGTAGGTTAGGTATCTGTGGTCTTAAAAATACTTCTAACAAAAGCCTGAGGTAGCAAATATAATATTTGCCTTTGGAGCATATAATCTTTTATCAAACAGCATTTTATGGCCCTTCTACATTTTAGAAATTTGGGGGAGGTTGGGATGTTGGTTGTTGGTGGTATAAACATCACGGTGGACATAAACTCGTAGATAATTAGGGCCAGGAGATCTGGAGGCAGGAGAAAAACTCGTTTTTTTCGAAGTGTTAAACGCCCCCGGTTTCAGTAAAATTTTGAGACGCAAACAAGTAAATGGCAAGTACACACTCAGGATACAGCTAGAAAGGAATACAATTCCGGAGTCTCTGAGTTATATACTCACGAGACCAGTATAAAACCACAGTCACTAAAATTACTGATGTCTTTCCAATTGGTGTGGTAACATAAATGTCAATTGGAAATAAACATTTCTTTGAGTACAAAAATCATCATCCAATCAGTATAATTAAACATTGATTAGGATGGCAAATTTCTCTTTCACTATAAAATTTATCATCCAATTAGTATATAACACTCAAACATCGATTGGGAACAACTTCTCTCACAATAAAATAAGTCTTCCAATCAACAAAATACAAAAATCGATTGGGTACAAAATACATGAAAAATCTTGTAAAAATTATATTAAGTTCAATACAACAAAGCCATACATCAGAGTGAGAAAATCATACATAAATAAAATCCATCATTCACTTCATGATGCCATGAGATAATCCTCAGAAAAAAAAAAGCCGTCCATAGCTTCTATCAAAATTTTAGTGAGAGCCTGCTAATTTAGAGTGAGAGAGTAAACCTACTCACCTGTTATTAACGATACAGAGCTCTTGTTATCAACGGGAACTCCTAAGAGAAAGTGAGAGAGTGAATAATATGTGAGACAGAGCTCTCGTTATCAACGGGAACTCCTAAGAGAAAGTGAGAGAGTGAATAATATGTGAGAGAGAGAGGGGAAAGCTTTCTAAATTCTCCTACAACATAGAAGTTCTATCCTTTTATCATCCAGCCGTCCATTTTTTATCAAGGGAGCCACTTACCGTTTGATCTTAGATCCAACGTCTCAAAGTATTTTATTTTTAGTTTTTTTAACACATTTGTTTTTTGAT